CACAATCGCTTTAGTTCTATCGATTAGATTATCTCTCATATTAATTTTATGATGAATGAAAATGTCGTTTTTGTCTGCGGAGTAAAGAAATAAAATGTATACCTAAATACACGATGCTCCAATTAACGAACGAATTTAAAATATATGCAAATTAATGTATCTACGAAACAGTTTGTCATTCGGTATTTTTTATTACATTTGAAGCGGTTTTTTTTTAAAGCAATAATAAGGATATATTTATTTGTACACGACTAACTTTATTATCTTTTCTGTGACTTTAAAGTAAATCAAGGTAGTAAGAAGTTGATTATTTATGTTCGTTACTGACATAACAAATCTAGTATACTTAGCCGATTTTAATAAAGTAAACATCATAAAAGCGCTCTAGTTAACCAACTTGCAATTTACTTACTAAAATTTACATAATAATGTGATCAGGTGCATGCGCTCTCTAAGTGGTTTACAAATTAGAAATATTCAACGTATAATTATAAAGTAGGAGTACCCATATTTATTATCGTAATATATCAGTCTTGAGTAACAGTTTCTGAATTTTAACGTTATTTAAATTATAACGGTTTTTGTCATAAATAGATATTTCCTTGTCGAGTATGAAACTTGTCACTCTACAGGTTCATTCAAATTCATATAAATATATACTTGTAGGTAAAATGTGAGGAAATCATACCGGTGTAGAGCATAGCTTAGCATTTCAATCTGTAATTACTATAACAGTTAATCATTAGTGACATTTTAAAATTATATCAAATCTAGTATTGCGTTATAACGTTCTAAGATTACGCTTCTAAGACAATCTTTACATCTCATATACGACGCTGGTAATGGTATCGACCGAGAAAAATACGTACGAAATTGTACAAACCGATGTGTATTTAGTTTGTAATGGCATATTCTCGCAATCGCATTGTGTACAATCGTATAAAGATATACCAAATGTTGTCTATTTCATAACACAAATAGTTGTTTTATGGCTGTAATTAAATCAAAATAATTAATAAAAACGCAATAGATTGCCATTTATTGCAACATAAAGTTAGTTTTACTTTTTAATTAAAATCTAATTTTTTTTTATTAGTTACCTATCAAAAAAGAGTGATACGCGTAAAGAAACGAGTAGAAAAGTAAATTACTAACTATTACATAACAATATATACATATTTACTCAATATTATGTATGCTAACTTCGTATAATTATCATCACATCACCATGTCAAAAACGATTCAAAAACCTGTGAAATAAGAAATAGCAACTTCAACTTATGCGTGTATTCATGTGATTGAACCTTTACAGTCTTATAGTTATGCTTACTTAATAGTTAGTAATATAGTTATGGTTTGAACTGGGACCAAGCGACATTTTTTGGGAGGGGTTTTTCGAAAGGTAACGGTACTAACGTTTTATCCTGATGCTTTCCTATGAATTGTTTTATAGTTTTAGTAAATAAATCTATGGCAAGTTCGAATTTAAATTCAGCGCTAGAGATACTCTATCAGCAGACTAAGACTACATTGTATTCAAACTTATTTCATATGAAAGTATTATTGATATTTTGTAATATATAGTATTTATTAGTTTATAATACCGTACTGTGTGGTATCTAGATAAGTATACTATTGTAGGTACATTCCAGACTACTCGTTGGATAAAGAATTTTTAAACGGCTTAAAAAAAAGATCTTTAATTCACCTATGTTTGTTTTTGTGGCATGTCACGTATCTTCGCCGATTTTAATTCTAGTTAATGCTATTTTCATTTGACAGAATTTATTTCTTATTACAATTTTTTTATATAAATTTTTCTATTAGTAATTTTGAATTAAAAACAACATTTACTAATAATTAAAAATAGTGAAAATATCCAGCAAACTATTAATACTAGTGTATTTGTTTGATAGCACATTTATTTTAACATTATTTTAATGAGTAAAGGTAATAACAAATAAATATTTGTATTGAAACTACCTGTAACTATTATTTATTAACGTAAAATATCTATAAAAAAACCTGTAAATATCGCTACATAATTACAATGCTAATTATAATTTGATGACTTGTATTTCTTGTATATAACAACGACTGCGATCGCCAATCGGAAAGAAGTATTCTAACAATGGCGTAGTAAAATGCAATCCGTTCGAAAATTAACACCTCACAGAAGCGAAATGCGTACTTATTTTATTTTCTTATTAGTTCCTGAGATTATCGCGGTTGTACAAATACGAGTAGGTACACCAATAAACAAATGAACGCAGAACTTTCCTTTTTCAGATTATTTAACACAGGTCTATATGATGAAATACAAAAACATTATAATCGGTTCTCCAAAAATAAGAGATGATTTTATATACTTACCTACTAGTAGAATTGAAGTATAAAATTAAAAGTAAAATAATTGGCAGACAAGTATTTTTAGGATAAAAAAACACAGGCTACTTTTTAGTATAATCAATTAATATAAATACTTAATCGTCGAAAAGTAAGCAACAGCGTTCCTCTTAAAATATCACTAAAGTCTAACTGCGATTGACAACCTGCCTGCCAAGTATGACAACTACTGGTAAACTCCCCATATGGGGGAAGCTAATACAGTGAGTAACTGTAGTAAGGCTTTAGTGATGTTTAAAGACAAACGCTACTAGCCATTCCTTAACCATAATTTACCTTAGTCGCCTCTTATGACACCCACGGGAAAGAAAGAGGTAGCACATTGTATGCCAGGATCACACGGCCTATATATTAGAAAGATTTGTAAAATAACAATTTACTAATAACAGAACGATCAATTAATGACTTAAGTATAAACAACCTACTAAAAATAATTTTTATCGTCATCGTATCATAATTGACATTAATTAAAAAGATTTTAAATAAGTAAATCTGTTCATTTATTGATTATATCATTAAAAATAATTTTATTACTAAAGAGCCATGTAACTTTATTAGCGATAATGGAATGTAGACTTATCCTAATAACATATAATTAAATACATGCTTTCAAAAATGGTATAAACTCGTAATAATTAAATCGACCAATCGATTCAGTAATTATCTATGCTCTTATAACTTTAAATATGTTGTAGTAGCGTTAGACATCTGTGTTCTTTGCTTGTTTATAATTTATTTTTATTAAAAAGTTATTATTTTAATTAATACTTACCTAAAATCGCAATCATCATCATATCAACCTTTAACTGTCTAACTAACTTAAGCCTCCCCCTTGGAGAGTTTTGCCAGTAGATGTCACGCTTGACAGGCGGATTGGCAACCGCAGTTAGGCTTTGGAGATGTTTTAAGAGAGACGCTGCTAACCATCCTTTGCCCTGCTTTAGTCCCTTCTTATGATATTCACGGGAAAGGAAGGGGTGGTCTATTGTATGCTGAGACCACACGGCAATATAAAACAATCAATCTAGATGTGTATAATATGTGTCAAAATACTATTTTTTTTTAGGTAGTTTAATACCAATATAGTCAATACCGATAAAATAGGTCAAATCGTGACGTATTTAAATATAACCAAACAGAGCTTATACTTATCGTTTATCTGTATAGTATAAATACCCTATCAAATAGAAAAAAAAAATATCAAAATCTGCTCAATATTGTGAAATATACCATACAAAAGAATAGTAGGTTGTCTCATTAGTAAGTATGAAATATGTAGTATTTCACATTGCGATGTCCAATGGTGTCGCTATGGTGCACCACAGCACGTGGCTTGCGGCCCTCTTTACTCACGTAGGTCGCATAATACTTACGAGTAAGGTTTCTATTTCTTCTATTGCGCAAGAGTACCTACTGATATGTCAGTTTCACTATAACCTATTGTCGGTGCAATTACTCTATAGTACGAGCCGTACGAACAAAATAACGGAATACTTAACAAGCATAATTATACGTGTCTATAGTTTTATTTACATGCTGCTGTTCGCACGGCGATTGTTGTATAGGTACTCCATACGACAGAGACATTTAAAAGCAGTGAAAATTATTAATATGAACCAGTTGATAAGTTATTAATAAGAAAATCTTCAAAATCTGGCTAATAGTTTTCATAGGTCTGTGACATTTTAAAGCAGTGAATATATTGCCTTCTATATTGAGCCAGCTAATAAGTTTTATCAAGGCAAATTTTATTCAAATCCAGCCAATAACATAGCATGATGTACACATATTCTTGTTACAGTTTCATTACATTATTAGATTGTTATGAGCTTATGAGTTAAATAAATGTACATGGCTGTATTTGCAAATTATATCAATTTTTATTCTAAATTAATATTATTAGCAACTAAGTTACGTAATTATACATACATACATAACTGTTGCACCTGTATCCCATTAGGTTAGACAGAAACAATGAAATACCAAATGCTTCGATTCAAACATGCCTCTTTCGCTTAATCCTCATTCGTCAATATTTTCATACATGCTCGCCGATTACGGATATATTTAATTTGGCCCTTCTTCAGCACATCGCCTATTTAGCCGACAAATGTCCGTCTAGGGTGGCCCCTATTAACGTTTCCATTTATTCTTGCTCAATAAATCTCTTTATAATTCTTCTTTTATCCGTTATCTCTAAATGGCCAAACCAACGCAACATTCCCTTTTCAAATTACATAATCATTCCTATATCATCATGTTACAGATAAATGTTTTTCAAGCTCAAGTGCGCAATGAATACATTAATCCTTAGATTACAATAATAGCTGTTACATTATTCGTTGTAGTAGGAATATTACAGAAAAGTTTACTCAATATAGGTAGTCCAGTATTAGCTAATTCTTTTGTTATTTAAAGTGTTTCTAACATTATAAATATTTACGTAACACCCCAAATTGTACGTATAATTTACTTTCATATTTTAACACTATTAAAAAAGATACACTATCATTATACATTATCTGCCAAGTGCTATTGTTCATTTATCCAAATTTTAATTATGAGTGATTAACCTAAGTTTTCTTTTGTTTCAGGGAGCAGTATATATTTAACGTATTCGAAGTAATAGTTAGTACTTTGGAAACGAAACTTCAACGAATAGAAAATCTTGATAAAGCTGTAGAACATCTAATGAGAAGAGTTGAAGCTCTGGATTCGAGAGTAAATGACAATATTCACAAAACAGATGCTATCATATCAAAATTGGGTAACCTCGACTTTAAGCTTTTTAGCCACATCGGTCAAGATGAAGACGAAACCTATACAGAAAACACAACTACAAAAAGACAAAACGAAAAGAAACTAAGTAACACTCAATTACTTGACAGGAAATTAGAATCTCTTGATCAAAAAGTTTCAGATATTGATACTAAATTAGTAGGACTTAAGAACCAGATAGATAATAACTTCTTACCGGTAGATGATATCAACGCAGAAGCAAGCGAGAAAAAGCCAATAAATCTGAATGTAGTAGAGATCGCAAAAAGTCTTAATTCAGAAGTTATTAACGAAATTACAAAAGAAGTGGACCAATTACGAACTTCAATGTCAACTGTTGACCGTAAATTACAATTTCACATTAATCTTGTTTCCGAAAACCTAGGCAAAGTGCTGTATATGATGGCGGATGTACACGCCGCAGTTGTAGAGCCCGAAGCGGCTTCAATCAATGTCAACAGTCTGTTCAAAAATCGAACTACTACTAGCACACAGTCACCAGTAACAAAGGCCAGCAAGATAGATACTCTTGTAAATAAAATTATACCAATGATGAGTGTCTCAGAAAAAATGGACGAAGTATGGGATGTCGTTGTGGGAACAAAGAGTTCAGTCGATGATTTAGTGCCAAAATCGGACGAGCTACTTACTCAGACACAACGACAAGAGCGTGCTATTGGTCAGATTCATAACGACTTGAGAGTGAAGACTAACTTGATCATAGAAAATTTGGATATGGTAGAGAAGAGGTTGAAAAAGCAAGAAGATGACGTAGCAACATTAGCCCAACGGCCAGTAGCTGCTGAGCTGCTTTTGGACCCCACTATTGACCGACTAGTCGAGTACGCACCAAACCGATATCGCGTAGACGATCCATCCACAGACCCCAGTACTAGCACCATGGCTGCTACTACGCCTCCGCCCTCGTCCACAGTAAACAACAGGTGACATCTTTCTATATCTTCTAGTACTATGCATTTGCGAGTGTTTGTATTTAAATTTTGCAAGCGATTTTACTAGCGAAGCTATGCGATTACTTATATGTAAATGTATAATATTTAGAGTAAATGCTAGGTTTGTAAGGTGACTAATGGTTATGTCGCATGCAGTCCGAGCAGCCCGAGTGGGTGGAGCTCAAGCGCGACAGTAACAGTGACACCGTCGAGCGGCAGTTCCAGCAACTCCAACGGGTCCGGCAGTACCACCAGCCCACGACCCGCCAGCCGCAAGGGCGGTATCATCTTCCCTAGTGTCAAGAACAAGCCCATCATCGGCAATAATACTTTCGCATCAGAAATCGTCGCCAACTATAAAGACGTGAAAGTGAGTCACTGTTATATAAATCCTTTTTTTAATGGGTAAAAATGGCAACCCTACCTGTGCTATCGATATACGCTGGCGGGGTACCAGTGAGAGTTGATAAGGATGAGGATGACAGCAGATCAGTTAGCCCATTGTGACGAATTCGTCAAGAATCAACCACGATGGTCTACAGGGGAACCGCGTGGAAGTCGACCTGATAGGGTACATTACTATGAATGGATATGAACCATATCCCCGTTATTAACAATACTTCCTGCTTGAATACACCTTTTATTCTCATTGAATTTGAAAAAATGCAACTAATTGCCATTGCGAATGACATAAATTAGGTAGGTACTTACATATAAATACAGTCTATCTATAATTACAAAATATTGTTTATTAAACCGTTCACCATAATTATACTAGTTGTCACAAGAACATTAATCATCATTTAATGTGTAACTATTGATTTTTAATAGATATTTTATAGCAATAAAGCAATTCGCGACGTGTTCCGTTACGACATAAACTGAACTGGTAATAATATACGAATAGAAATAGGGTAGAGGAAATTCAAATAGTTGCATTTAAATATATTATATACCAGTGCTAAAACTGTCAACAAATCACATTTAACTGAGAACGAAATTATGTATTGTATAAACGTAAATAAGTCAGTCACGGTAACATTTTGTGAAATCTACAGATCGTTATTGCAAAGCAGTTGAGTTCCTTTTGAGGAATTTTAATCACAGTCTCGTTGTAGTGTCTACAGGTAGAACTTGCCGACTGCTATCTATTTACACTCAGCCTTTTACGTCTCCTGATTTAGCAACAAGGAACACTAATTAACAACCTGCGCTCGGTCTATATTCTGATAAATAGCAATCGTGTACATATAATTTGTATCTATATATAACCAGTTGCAATATACTTTGATAGTTGTCTGCAGCGATTAAATACTTATCTATTGCATTTATTATTATTTCGTTTGGTTCTGAATATATGTATACAATCTACTAAAATTTTTATTTTGAAAAATTACAAGCTGATTTAGCTTTCATTTCGATTCTAATTTCGATTACTTTGGCATCTTTCGCGCCGTTATTTCAAACTCAATATTCAATAAAATTTTACAATTTTTTTTCTACAATTTACAATAGTTAAAAATATAATACTGTTGTGTAATAAATATACATAGTACATAAAAGTACATGAAACTTAGTGCAATTAGTAACAAATGTGAACATTTAATCAATTATATCAATTTCTAATTTTTGCTACTATTGAACATCAACAGACTGTCTTATCATTCATTCGTTTGTTAACATTTTTTCTTAAGATCTATTGAAATATACGTAAAATAATAACGCGTAACAGTTTTAAGAAAATACTATGTAAAAGTTATTACAGATCTAAAATACTATGTACTGGCTATATAGATATAATTTATTTTTTCTTTATGTTTACCTATTAGTAAACCATAATATTATTTATATAGAGTTAACGTCAATAAATTACTACTAATATTAATAAATAAATTAATATTAATGAATCTATTAATAAAAAATAAATAAGACATTATAATAATTCATAAATCTTTAGCACCATAGTATTCTTCAAAATAACAGTAAAATAAAACGCAAACAGATCTTTATATCTACATAGTATAAATAAATTATTTATTATCTACTTGCTCTCAGAAATAAGCAGGTTCCGTTCACTCTCGCCTTCTTACTACTGTCATCCTTGATAGAGTCCATACATTTAAGGCGATCGTTACAAATTAATACTTATTTAATTATGTAGTCGTGACCAAAATTTACGCTACATGAATAGTCAACACCGACACCTATGTGTTGCAATATACATAAGTGTCTAGATATTATTCTAGACAATATCTGTCTGTATTGTAAAGAACGATTTAAGATTTTGACCGTAACACAGGCGCAAACCTTATCGATTGTACAATTATTAAAATTGGTAAAATTAATAAAACCACTAACGGGAATTGAATTAAATTTGGTATACATATATAAACAAATAAATATAGATCATATTCTAAATTAATGTATACATTTTATCATAAATCTTGCGGCATAGCCGCAGGTCAAAAATAAATATAAGACAATAATAACTGTATGAGTAACATAATTTCACGGACACTTAAAATTGTTATGACACTATTTATTAGTTAAGAGCGTAATTAAATGACAATCTATATAGCAATGACCTGTTAATATTCTTGCTATTACAACTCATAAATATCCCACAGCAGGACACTATATATATAATAGGATATAGTTTGCTTTTAGCATGTAGGCAAAATGTCTTAGTATAATATAAGATTTATACCCGAGTTTTCTTTCTCTTGCACTTGCTAATTTAGAACTTTATTCCCGTAATCACCTTATAAGATACTCTGTGAATGAGAAGTGATTCGTTATATTTTTATCCGTCACGACATCAACAATTGTCTATTTGTCGATTCGATTCTATTTATATAATCCTATAATATGTTATTTCATAAGGATATAGCTAACTAAAACAGTGCAACAAACTACGCAGACACACCTTTACTTACAATACAATCAAGACACCGTTGCATCATGTCGCTCGACATAACCGCCAGTTCTTATACCCTAAGACAATAAATACGTTGTAATCACTGGTAATTGTCGCTCGGTGGGAATGACCGGTTTTTGCGCTTACAGAATCGCGGAAAGTATACATGTATGTGGATAATGTATGAACCAGATTTATGTAACGGACTCACTCACAACTTTCCTTGTGTGGAACTTTTTGTTTTGAATAACCCTTCGACATAATGGAAGAGAAAGCCATTCACAAAATGAATCCATGTGTAACAGTCGCGAACCTCTCATGTTTATATATACATAAATGGATGTTTTCAGCTCTATTCTAGATTTGCTTACTTTATGGTTCACTTAAAACATATGTAAAGAGTTCGCTATCATTAATAGATTATGTCGTGATGTTCTGGATTGCGGCTCCAGATTTTATTGGTTTCTATTAATTACAATATTAGTTAGTACAAATACCTACGATAGCTTCAGACAGATAATCTGGAAACAAATTGTAAGTTAACTCTATTCTAAGTTTCTTTCAATGGGCCAGTAGAATTCCATCTACGTATATAATCAGAAAATTATCAATTCGTGACTGTCCCACCCATTACTATAGGGACAAGTGAAGTGTATAGTGTATAGTATACTGACTTTCTTTTTTCTTACATAATGAGTATGTGAGAATAGATAATATGAGTATATTGTGCGAAATTAAATTGTAATAAATTTAATTATTGACAAATCATTGCTGTCATTGTACTGTAATTTATTTGTCATGAATGCAAATGCACAAGATGAAATAAACTGATATGAATTTATATATTTTTCTGGAATATAATAGAACCTTCCTGGATATTTACGTCATTGGAAAATAATTTTTATGTTTCATTTTGTTATGTGACGCGATTTTTGAACAGATTCTGCTATTTTTTTTTATATTCGGTAAGTTACAAAATTGCTGTTTTTACAGTATCTTAAAGTATATAATATAAATACATAAACAAAATTCTCCCTAACAAAAGAACAATTCTGGTTCTTTGTTGCACTGTCTACCTCAGAACAATACTCTGGCCATCAGAAAGTCCACAGGTAATCCACAAACATCTGTTACGTGATAGATACCTACTCTTTACAAAATGAGTAATTATTGTCTTTACACGAACAAAGCGCCAAATGGATACCAACATATTGGACAGCAAATAGTTCATTAGAGAACACTCGCTATTCTCATTATTAATTATTTAGTGTCACGCCAAAATCCGTATACTAAATACTTAAGTGAATAGAAGAAAAGCAGTTAAAAAAATTAAAGTACTCACGAGTGTTCCGTTAGTAATTTGTCAATTTTTTTACGTAACCATAACGTGCGGAACCTTTTATGGCATGTAATATTAGTCACAAAAAATAAATGTAATAGATTGTTAGGTGGACGCCTGCCTCCGTTGTATCGTAGAAAACGTATTATATTTTTTTTTTGTCTACGATTGTATATATGATAGGTACATACCGGTAACAAAGTATGCTGTGTCACTTTCTAATGTTTCCTGACCAAGGGATTTATCGCTTGATCATTTGTATACTTTTTTTTTATGGATGATAATGGAATGGTGACTCCACCCGCGCTATCGGTATACACCGGCGGGGCACCAGTGAAGGATGATAGGTGAGGAGATGAAGTACGTCAGTTAGCCCATCGTGTCGAATTCAACAAGAATTGTTCACGATGGTTTCCAGGGGGAACCACGTGGAGGTCGACCTAATAAGGCATATTGCTAGCAATGGGGCTGTCAAACTCCATTACTAACAATCCCTTTTCCCCCTCATTTGTATACTGATTAGTGCGTATATAATATGTAGTAAGTAGGTTGATGTTTTGGAAAATCCAATACCATGGTACCAACTTAGATTATATAGATAGAGTGTCTCCATACAAATACTTCGACAAAAGGGAGCAATTTTTTCATACAATTTTGCGTGATAAATAGTTATGAGTGATTCCTTTATAATTTCTATATTTATTTTATCTTATAAATCCTGTTCCCTATGATGCGCAAAAACTCATTTTATAAATATAGATTCCATAGATACGTCAAGATACATCAAGATACATTATATGGTTAAGTGTATAGAACATTAATAAAAACAAAATAATTCAGCTAATTTAACAATTAGCTGATAAAAAGTTGACCCGTACCTATTTGAAGCTCGATGCTCTATCTATATAATCTAAGGGTATCAAATTTATGTTGTTTTATTACGTTATTTTAGTTCAAACTTTAATACCTAGTGTATAAAAATAAATATCTTTTGTATAGGATATTTTTTAGAATACACTATATTGCTGACACGGAGTAGTAAGAACAGGGAAAAAGATTTTTAGGCGAACTGTTCTCAGCCTCAACATTTGAAGATATTTAAAACTTACACTTATTAAAAAATGTACAGTCAGCGAGAATACTTTTGTAGAATATACATTTTATTTGATGCTATATCTATGTATAGTCTATGTACATATCTTTGTATTTTTTATATACCATTGCACATCATAAGCCTCCTCTTAGAGGGTTTTGCCAGTAGTTGCCACGATTGGCAAGCTTATATATTACATTATATATACGTATACCGGAAAATTTTATGAACTTTCTATGTTTGTCGTTTCCGACAATACTCTATTGACTTACTTTTCTTCTGTACAAACCGCATGGTCAATGTAGTATGAATCCAACACTTTTCTAATATTTGTTGTTTTTTACGGTCTACTAATTCATGAGATGCTACCTGCATTGAACAATGAAAACTATAGAACTTACACTTAATATGCAAATGAGATTTAAAAGTCCTATATTATTATATCATGTTTGATTACTTTTATATAGTTATTTTTAAAACATAAAAAACGAAGAATGCATCTCACCAGTAACAACATCTTAATCAACAGTAGTTGAGCGGAACGGTAATAAAACGACTCACGCTATCTAGCGCTGCATGCCGTACACGTGAAAGTGGGTATATCTATTTATCCATAATGATGAATTTCACGGCAACTACTGCCCTCTTTATATTTTTTATCCTCATACCAGAGAATCTCAGTGGAATGTATGATTTTCAGGCAATTCTTGAACTATAATATTAAACGTCTCAAACATAAACTGTCTGAGAAATATCACGGGTAACATCATTCTACAAACTTATTTTCTAATACCATCAGATATACGATGTTAACTTGTATATTTTCTTGAGAAATGGCTCTAATAGCTGAAATAAGGGAGGCTTTTGTTTAGCAGTGGATAATAAAGTAGCGATGGATATAGAAAAAATATTCAATTATCAATTTATTTGAAGATATAGTTTGCGTAAATAGCTGTAAATAAATAGTAGAAATTGTATCTACGAGGTTTGTCCGGAAAGTACGTATAAAAGTTTTTTAAAAATTTTATTTTACAATTATTCAGGTAAATCAATTTTATCCCCTTCAAAGTACTCCCCCTGTGACATAATGCACTTGTGCCAACGCCGTTTCCACTGTGAGAAGGCTCCTTGAAAGTCCTCTGGTTGTAGGTTTCTCAGCTGCCCCGTCGTAGCTTTTTTTATCTCATTTATGTCCCCCAAATGCCGCCCCCGAAGTACCAATTTGGTTTTTGGGAACAAGAAGAAGTCACACGGGGCCAAATCCGGCGAATAGGGGGGGTGTTCGGTCACCGTAATGGAATTTTTACTCAAAAACTCACGGACAACAAGAGAGGTGTGGGCAGGGGCATTGTCGTGGTGAAGAATCCAACGCCCCTCTCGCGCCAATTCTGGACGAACTCGTGCCACACGAGCTTTGAGGCGTCTGAGCACATCGACGTAGAATTTTCCATCAACTGTCTGGCCTGGAGGGACGAATTCTTGATGGACAATCCCCCGAACATCGAAAAAAACAATCAACATTGTCTTGACATTTGAGCGGGATTTTCTTGATTTTTTTGTTCGTGGTTCCCCGGATGTCTTCCACTCTTTGCTTTGGGATTTTACTGTTCTGAGATCGGCAAAAATTTCACGGCCATTCTTGCCGAGTTTCGAGAGAAATTTGATTACGACGCGCTGCTCTTCAACGGAAGCGGGCTCCATGCCGACGGGGTTTCGTTAAGAGGTAACTTCACAGATGGCGTGACAAGCCAGTTCGCACCGCACGGCGGTCAGACCAGAACTGAAGCATTGTTAGGGACATAAGGAAGGGGTCCTGCGCTTACCTGGCCTCCCCACTCCTCTTTCTCGCATTCCAGAACAATTTTATACGAACTTTCCGGACAGACCTCGTATGTGTAATAAAATCATCGTGTTAGCCGTTAACTATCCTCCCCCATAAGAGTTTTCCAACAGTTGCCACATCTGGTAGGCGGGTTGGCAACCGCAGTTAAACTTAGGTGAAGTTTTAAGAGGAACACTGCTACCTATCGCTCGACCGTTTAGTTCCTTTTGTCGCCTCCTATGATACCCATGAGAAAGGAAGATGTAACGCATTCTATGCAGTGATCACACAACATTAATATAAATATAATTAATAATATTATGTCGCTATTTACTGGTAATCTGAGGGCCTACCATGAAATGTTTTCCGAAATTTCGGAGCCAAACGAAACAGAAATTTGATGTCAAAATTACATAATACATGCCGTTTGGAAATATTAAAAGTGTTAAAATATTGTTCCTTTTGACTTTTATGATAGGATGTATGACGAACAAAATGTTATACTCCATTTATTGTACCGATTTTGGTATAAACAATAACACGAAATTGAGTTTAAAATTTCGGAATTTCATTTCATGGTAGATCTTCTGTTTATTACATTTTAGATAAAGACGCGTTTATAAATATTTGGGAGAATGTTTGTATACATCAATCGTTTTGTAAACGAGTATATATATTCTAATATTTACGCGAAATTAACAGCACATGCGAATATTAAATAATATATTACAATAGATGTCTTGACTATCAAATTTTTCTTGATTCGGTCCTTCTTTAGGATATGGGAATACAAGTATTATGTCCTATCCTATCTATAATAACGATAATATGAAATAGTCTGTTTCAACAAATAGAATTTAATGAAAATGTAATAAAAACGAATACTCGACCTGACCGAAAGGCAATCTGCTGATAGTAATAAAAATTGAATTTAAAAAATGTTTATTTATTGAAAACCAACAGCATTATAATTATTAATTACAGAATAGTATTTAAAATATTAAGGCCAATAACAGGTTTCTTATTATTGTAAAAGTACATAATTGATTTGCGCAAAAATGCAAAGGTACTACACTGATGTGTCATCACAATAAACGCAAGTACATATGTTTACTTTATGTACACTATGTTACAAAATACTCGTACTGTTATATTTATTTGTGTGATAATTTTAACAAAACTCGGTTATCTTTTTATTAAATTCTGTTAAAACAGACTATGAAATGGTGTACCAACCCAGTACGATGCGATTCTTTTTCGGTCTTATTTATCAATTTCTAATTTTTGTAGATCCATATTACGAAATGTCTTCCGATAAAGAAGTATCAGAAAGTATGTCTATAACGATTTTCATATTTTTTCCAGGGTTACTCGTGCGTCGACCTCTTGAATGGTGGCATGAGGGATTCTGGTGTGTACTACTTGCAGATTAGAGGCACCACTTATTGGTTCCTGAAAGTTTACTGTGAGCAAAGCATCGCGGATGGGGGGTGGACTGTAAGTTACAATCTATAGACAATTTTCAATACGACATTTATTAAATTATACTTTTTTAAGTTTTTTTAAAAAAATTGCATATTATCAACTAACTGAATAATAAATCACTCCTTGAGACAATCGTGATAGGAACCTTTATCTATAAAATAGATAGATATTCTGTGACGTTTTTATGTTTTTTAGTGTTCTACTCGTACCTATATCACTTACTGTTACATGAGTAAAATACCTTCTTATTTGCGATTCTAAAAAGATATATATATATATATATATATATATATATATATATATATATTATATATATATATTATATATATATATATATATATATATATATATTATATATACAGATAAATTTATATATATATATATATATATATAAATTTATCTGTTTACAATTCTTTCTATTTAGTACTTAATCTCTACTTAAGTATCTACTAACATGTCTATATACTTTCTGTTAATAAAGTTAAATAAATGAATTAGGTTATACATCGACGTGATGACTTCGGCGTCCCCGCAGAGAACTTCAACAGGGATTGGAGCGACTACAAAAACGGCTTCGGGGACCCCAGTAAAGAGTTCTGGCTTGGCAACGAAAATATATACATGCTCACTAACAACGACGATTACATGCTTCGAGTCGAACTCGAGGACTTTGATGGTAACAAGAGGTAAATATCAATAATACTGACAATTTTTTTTTTATAAAAAATATCGACTTCAATTTGACAAAATTTGAAACGAAACCAATTAAGTACGATAATATACCTACAGATAAATAGATACAGATACATACATGTCTGTTACAGATATGCGCAGTATTCGCACTTCAAAATCTACTCAGAAGCGGAATACTACAAACTAGAGATAGATGGATACGAAGGCAATGCAGGTGACTCCCTAAACGACCCCTGGTACGGGTCTAACAACAGCCCCTTCTCTACCTACAATAGGTAAGTTATAATTATTAGATTGGAAAGTGAAATAGAAATATATAAATATTTATTCGATTAGGTATTATCAAATCAAGTTAGATAAGCAATTGGATTCAGTTATGTGGTTTGACATGTTTAGTAGTTCCAAAACAAGAATATATACTGGAGTCCTACATAAACTAATTAGTTGGATTAAATTCAATTAAAAATAAATAAAAAAAAGTCTATGAGCTAGTAGTAACCTATTTTTAGATAGCTAAGTATATTATTTAACATTTTTTTTATATAGGAAGTGTGAATTGAAACATGCACATTTTCGATCAAAAATAAGCCTTTATTTCAATAACAAAATTGATACATCAATCAAAGTATTGGCCATCAGATGCTATAGCTTTTTCCCATCTTTCTGACAACATACGGATTCTGCGCCGAAGGAATGCCTCATTTTTTGATGTGATGAACAAATTATTTACTTCCTCAAAAGAAGTTAAGCATGTACCAGCCAGATGATCTTGCATCGATATAAAAAGATGGTAGTCAGAAAGAGCAATGTCTGGGCTATACGGCGGGTGGGGTAACACATCCCATCGAAGTGTATCCAAGTATGTTTTACGATGTTTGCAATATGTGGCCAAGCATTGTCATGTTGAAGAATTACTTTATCATGTCTGCTTATATTCTGGCCGTTTATCCTTCAATGCTCGGCTCAAACGCATTAATTGGAGTCGGTAGGGTGGCTCATCAATAGACGAGCCACCCTACCGACTGATGATGATTACATTCGGTTCCAGCAGTTCATACACAACACCCTCTTGATCCCATCAAATACAGTGTTACCTTAAATCTGTGAATATCTTGCTTTGATGTCGATGGTGCTGGTTGGCCGCGCTTCACATATGCTGTTTTTGCTTTGGGTTATCGTAATGGATTTACTTTTCATCGCCAGTGACAAAGTGATGCAAAAATCCCTTCCTTTTTTGTCTTTGATGGAGCTGTTCGCAAGTGAAATAGCGGCGCTCGACGTCTCTTGACTTTAATTCATGTGGGACCCAATTTCCATGCTTTTGAATAAATCCTGCTGCCTTCAAACGCTTGGAAATGGTTGATCGATCTACTCCCAATGATTTTGCAATTTCTTCTTGCGTTTGACACGGATCTTCATTACGTAATACTTCCAATTATTCATCTTCAAAATTTTTTTTGGATGTTCCTTAACTTCTGTATCAAAATCTCCACTTCTAAAGCGTGAAAACCACTTTTGACATGTTCTAATCTCTGGAGCATAATCAGGATAAACTTTAGAAAGAAATTCATGAGCTTGCGTTGCATTTCGCTTTAAATTGAACAACAAAAGCAAAGCTTCCCGCAAATGTTGTTTTGTTGGCACAAAGTTCGACATTTTTATCATAATAAAAAAAAATTGTAAAATAACTCTAAATAGTGTTCACTTTGACAGCTCAAATTAAATAGATTTTTTGACGCTCTTTAACATACAATAGTTGTCAATGTCAAAATAATAACATGTATGATAGATATGAAGTTCACACTTCCAATATATTTTAGTTATAAGACATTCAAAAACATACTATATTTTTACGTTCTAATCGGTTTAAATATATACATATAAACAGATCATACATCGGATTATTTTTCTGAAAATTTTAATAATGAATAATGATATCCAATTTAGTCGTTTTTAGAATATATAATAATATTTAAAAATATTTCAACTAATTTATTAACTTTACAGAGACAATGACAGATCTTCCCTAAACTGCGCATCAATGTTGAAGGGTGGATGGTGGTGGAAGTCGTGCGGTCGTGGCCTCAACGGATTATATCTACACGACCCGCAGGACCTAACTGCCAGACAAGGTATTAAAAAATACCCAAGTAACAAACAATTAAAAGCTAATTAATTGATCCTCAAATTAGAATACCAAAAACTATGTATTTTAAGAAACCAAGGAATGAACATCAGGCCTCAGCCAATTCAGAAATCTAAATTGATCCAATCGAGAATCGAACCTATGAATGAATGTGGTATTCATGTAAAGCAAACTGCCTAGCATTGTACTAACTATGATTACTTATTCTTACTATTAATATTGAAGGCTGTAAACTCTTGATTTTTTTTTGTCACTTCCATCGAGAACCTGACATGATGACATAATTGCTACAATACTTCCTCAAATTCTAAAACCGAACTACCGACTTAGTTACACACTGCAACTTTAGAGTTTTCTCCCGCGAACGTTAAGGCTTCGATAAGACGTTCATTCTTTTTATTCATCATTGTCCTACCGGGGTCTTTTCTAAGGCTACTTACTAGAAGTTCTCAAAAATTATGTAATAAAGTTTCAACACTCTTGATGTTGCAAAACTTTATGCCTATTTGCCACCATTATGCTATTGACTCTCCTATTTCGTCTAACATATTATTAATATAACTCCGAATTGAGTTATAGTATACGAGTCCGCATTAAATCCTCAGGACACGATAAGGAATTCTGATACAGTCCTGCATCTGTGCAGATTTTTCACATTTCATACTTACATACGATATTTATTACAGGTATAGTATGGTTCCGCTGGCGAGGTTGGGATTACACGCTGAAACGCGCGTCCATGATGATTAAGCCGAAAGGACTCCAGCCAGTCACGTGAGCGCTGTCGCGCCAATATCACACTACACTTATACCAGCCTCTGTTCGCTCATTACGTGGATTCAATTTTATTGTGATTCTTTAGCGTCAAAGAGGACAGCAAATGCGATAATATTACATTTCGCGTTCACAAATTTTTCGATCATACACCCGAGCGAATCGCGTATGCTTCTTAAAGATATCTTACGATTTCTATATTTTAACTGAGGTGAAATTTTATGCAACGATTCGCGAATATTTTTGTTGAAACTTATTCGAAAATTATTTCGTTATCTGAAGTTGTAACATTCGATCAGATACGTACAATCTAATAAAAAACTGTGATACTTGGAATTTACATTGTCCAAGACTCATCATTCACATGCAAATTTTCATATTACATATCTACTCATTTTATATAACACGGCGAAATCTCTGTGAATCCATGCAATGACATAGAACATGGTAGGCAGCTGAACGCTCAAAATGTACCTATAGATATATATCTGTAAATAATTCTCTTTACTCATGCGACACCGTGCGGTTTCTCCTTCTTAAAAGTTCAATGATGTAAATAACAGTAATACTAGTATATTACCTACTGTCAACGTGCCACATCACACAAATTCATTAATTTATTACTCATTTAACCTTGATACATAAAATCTTCGTTAATTAGGTTTATAATTTAGATGTAAGATAAAATTGTAATAAGATGTAAATAATTAATTTTACGCAGCGATTAATAGATGCAATAAAATGACGGTGCCCATACAGATAATTTACTCTTTCACCTTTTCTTTGGGGCTATCTATATTAAAATTATATTATGTATAAGATTGAAATTTTTTGACATTTATTTATGTACAATTTTAAAGGAAATTTATTTAAAATGCGTTCAAATGGTTCGCTTTAAAACTAACCTATGCAAGTATTCTGTAATGTTAGAATGTTTCTTTATACATTATTTAACATAAACTATAGACACACGCACTTTCCTATTATTAGCACATAAATTAAATGTACCTGATAAGTATCTGCCACAAGTACGTCATATAATAAGTATACTTATTTATACTTTTATATAATATCGCTATACTTATTTCATTGTTTATAAATTAGTTTTATAAGTAAAATAATGACGAAGCGTAAATATCGTGTGAAAGTATATTTATTTTTGTATCAAAAACGCGCCGAAATAAACACTGCCAGAGATTATTGTAAACGTGTAAATTATTTTATATAAAACATGGACACAAGCAATTAATATAAAACAACCAAGCGAAACTGGTGATTATCAATAAACTACTAAATGGCTGTTTTTGAACGATTGCTTGTTGTGTATGTAATGGTTGTGTAACTGCATACAGTTCGGTTATACTCGTACATGTATTATTGATAGAAAATAAAACTATATTATTTTTCACGAATTTGTTTTATTATAGTTTTAAATATCCAGGTTGTTTCTTAAACCACATTGTAAAATTACAGTTAATTAAGCCGTATAATAATACAACATACATTGAGCACACTATTACATTTACCACGATAAAACAATAGAGTCAATGGATACGTTAAAACAAATTCTATTATATAACATAAAATTTAGACTATATTGTGATTTCATGCCAAAGAATCGTCTACTGTTAAAGAAATATTTAAATTTTTTATATATATTTAATTTTTATTTCATATATGTTAAGGTCCAAATGTGTGTATAGTTGTATCCCAGTATACTGGTACCTATCTTAAAATACGAAGATGATGTACCTAAGGAATTCATTTTTAGTACATTTATATAATACAGACAATAAACAAGAATGGTTCTATGCTTCATAAAATCTGTTGATTTTATGAAGCATAGAACCATTCTTGTATATACTTATTGTGACTATTTTAGATTACCTTTCGAAATACTATTTTAACACCAGTTAATTACTAAATATTAGCTAAATGCAATTCAAATGAGTAGGATAATACATCATTAAAATCAGAATAACAGTACATAGTTAATTACCATTATCATTGTTTGGATCTTGTAGCTTTGAAATTTTTTGATCTGTTTCTGTATCTTGAGTATTTAGATCATCTTGTCCTAGCACTACTTCAGATTCGATTGTGTCATCAACTAATACTTCTCGAGTTTCTGCTACATTTTCCTTCATTTCCTCAGTTGTTGTTCTTGCTGTGTCTGGTTGTAACAATGTATCATCAGCGTTTAACTGTTCTTCGGGTAATTCGATATCTTCTAGGTTGTGTAAATTTAGTAGTATGTCATGTGGTTCACGGTATACGGCATCTAAATCAGCAAGAGAATATTGCATTTCTTCAGAAGCAAGCAACACGCGTGAGGGGCTGGACTGGGAGACGCGTCGAGTACCTCGCGCGCGTTCTACCCCGACACCTCCCCACTTTTCTTGTTATACTTTCATTTTTTTAGGGCCCTTTTTCGCTGCACGTTCTTTAGCCTTTTCATATAATGGCATTAACTTCTTCTCTTCTGCTAATATCTTAAGAAGAACTATAATAAACGGCAAATAGTTGTGTCGCCTGCGGGCCATCTCTTGCTGATACCGCGCTATCTTTACATCCTCATATTCTATTAACATTCGGAGACTGGGTATTTCATTTTCCAGTTCGTCAGTTTCCATACCACCGAGCATTTGTGTTTCAGACAACAATTCTTCAAGCTGGCGCTCATATATCATTTTTCTGTCTGATACTAAAGCCATTAGATTGAAATGTATTTCTCCTTCAGTGTATCTAAAAATTAATATACAAAAAATTTACATTATTCAATGATTTCTTATAAAATTTAATATTATTTTATTAAGTTTTATCAATTATAAAATTAGTAGTGGTTACCCGCTTAAATATTTTAAAGTCAACATTTTATTTATACTTTATTGTACACAAAAATTACATTATAAATCTATATTAAATGAAGGTGTACAACAGGCGAACCTAACTCTGTAAAAATTCTCTTAAAGTAAACCTTTTACGTTGTAATTTAAATAATATAGGCTTAAACAAAAAAAAATCAATAAAGAGTTTTCATTCATTCATCCATCCAATAAACGATGATAAGATATAGTCATCAATTTGCACACCTATATTTTAAATAATATTTTGAACTTGCTTCAATCTATATGTAATGAGAAATATAGCTTGTAGAGCACAGCAATACAGCTATAACAAAGCAAAGTAGTTTATTAGAACGTGCTAATTTCTGGAACTATCAGTTGGACTCGAAAAATTCTTTTAATAGCTTTGCTAAATTGATAATTGAGCTATTAAATGCTTGAGCTATTAAATAATAGCTAATTTTTCGAGGAAGGTATACAACATTACGATATGACCACGAGCGAAGCAACAGGATACATATATTAATTTATGAAAGAGGAATATTGCAAGCATATTTCATTCTTCTGTGGATATAGATTTCATATTTACCTGTTTTATGATGGGCACATTTCTAAAATTTTCGTTTAAATATTTCTCCTAACTTATTAGTATCACAGAATAGAAGCAGTTGTAATAATAGTTTGGTGTGATAGGTTGACTCTCATTGTTGGTTAAACTTATTCATCAATTACTCTTTTTTTATTTAGATTTCAGAAATAATAAATAATAACTTACACATTGATCCTCTTCATAATAATAGGCATAACAACATCGAGCCAGTCCTGTTCAGATCCAATAGGGCCATGGTCGATGGGACCCTCTCGAAGACCATCTAACTCATACAAACGACCATCTATTGGCATATAGCCTACAAAGTGGTATGCATCATCATCCTGTAAATAAATGTGTAATCTTAATATCCTGCACGGATTTGTAAAAAGACTTTTATGAAGTAAATATATTTAATTTTACAAATATTTTAATACAGCCAATTATGTAATGTAATGTAAAAATGTGACAATAAAATTTTATTCAAAAGTGTACCCAAAAGGTAATAATTAAATAAAACAAAAAAATTAAAAAAAAAAAACAATAATAAAAATACCTTCGTTGGCATTTTAGGATCAATCTCAAAAAGCGGCTGTTGCGACATTGAATTATGCGCGCTCCGAATAGTTGATGAATTGCTCAGAGTCAGACCCCGCATTTTCGGATCAAATGACATACTGAATTCCTTTAACTTAGTAAGTTCTGGACCAATGTCCACATCTGGGTGTACACAGTTTAACAACAAACTGATAACGGCCTGTGTGGCGCATGCATTATTGATTACCTGTAATTATTCATAATTTTTAGAATAGAAATGGAATTATTATTAAAAATAATAATAATATCTGTTTCAACAGAACTTAATGAAAAGGTAACCAAGTTTTGTTGAAATAATAATTAAGAATCCCTCTAATTGAAATTAGTAACAAAATGAAATTTTCAATTAACAGTTTCTTTTTTAAAATTTATATTTGTATTACATATCAACAGACAGTCTAATGGTGGGGTATTTTTATTTACATTTTTCTAAAATTATAAACGTATTATAATATAAAAAATAAAGAAAACTTACCTGTTTTGCAAAATATATTTTGTCTAAACGACTGTCTGTAACCACAGGACCAGACGGCTCTTCATGTTGTAAGTACTTAAACAAGAATATAAGTCCATGTACTGGCCTGAAATATATAAAATTACACAAATAAGCATAATGATATGGAATGTAAATGTATACTTTAGAACAGAAGAAAAAAAAATATTTTAAATATTTGTAGCAAATATGAACCAGATATAAAAAATTGTCATAGGTTTATGTGCGACTTTTGTCTATCAAATACACTACCAAAGCATTTTTAAATAATTAATCAGAAATATTCAAAAACTTTCTATTGTTATTGAAAATTGACAGATAATTTTGATATTTCCACACTTTAGTTACTTTCAATACAATACAATACAATACTTTAGTTAGTTTTAATATGAACCCTCTTAACAAATTATGAACACATTTCTAAGGTGTTGATTGCATACTTAGTCAGTCATGATTGCAGTGTTTCTGTGAAATAAAATTTTGAACTAATAATATTGGTAATCATATACATTATTCACAAAAAAATATGCTCACAATGATAATCTTTATTGAGTCAGTCATCTCTTTAATCTAATTATAGAAAAACTATATAGTGCTAAAAATTAAAACTTCACTGAGCAGTGCATTGTATAGGACTTACCGCAAATTTTCAAATATGCCATCGTCAATAGTCCATAACTCTTCAACTTGTACTCCTTTTGCACCTAAAAAATTACAGACTTAGCAGTCATGATTAAAACCTTTCTATATTTATCCTTTGCCAACCCACCTGCCAAGCATAACAACTATTGGCAAAACCCCCCAAAGGAGAGCCTATGTTCAAAGATGGACAATTAATGGCTGATGTGATGATAATGATGATATTTATTCTTAAGCTAGTCAGTTATTAAATCATGGGCGGAAAGGGATTGTTAGTAATGGGGTCAAATAGCCCCATTATCAATATACCCTGTCAGGTCGACCTCCACAAGGTTCCCTCTGGAAACCATTATGGTTAATTCTAGTTGAATTCATCAGGGCGGGCTAACTGACCTGCTTTCATACTCATCTGTCATCTCTCACTGGTGCCCCTCCAATGTATATAGATGGCACGGGCCAGTTTACCATTTCATTATCACCCATTAACAAAAAAGGTATTAAACATGGGATAAAAAGGTGTTCTTTTATGAATAATAATTAAATGGTATAACACTGGCAGACTACCAGCAAGGAATTGTAGATAAAATTAAAAGCAGGTTAGTTAGCCCATTTTGACAAATTCATCAAGATTTAACATTTAACAGAGGTTGACCTCACAGGGTAAGTTAAAATAAAAATATCATTAGCCCCCATTATAAACAATCCCTTCTTCCCTAAGGAAAAGTTAACTACAATAGTTTTTTTTTTTTTTATATACAACTTAGAATGGCAAACAAGCTGACGGCCCATGTGATGGAAAATGGCAACCGTCGCCCATAGACATGAGCAGTACCATGGACATAACAGAGAACACTGTTTCCCCCACGCGTTGCCATTCCTGAGTACTCAGGTGTTATTTCTCTGTACCCAGTAAATTCATGCCATATCCCACCCTTCAAACCGAAACACAGCTAAGCAAACACAACTGCTTCACAGTTGAAACACAAATGGGACAGAGGTACCCAAGCAAACGACCTCTGTACAAAGTCTCCCTCTGGTGAAGATGAGAGAAGAGGCAATTAAAAACATAATATTGAGCAAGGAGGAAAGGGGATTATTAGTAATGGGGTCTACCATTGTCATTGCTAGCAATACACTATATTAGGTCAATCTCCATGCAGATCCTCCTGGAAACCAATGTGGCTAATTCTTGAATTTATCATGACAAGCTAACTAATCTGCTTTCATTCTTCACTACCATTTCTCACTGGTGTTCCGCAAGCATATATCGATAACACAGACAATGTTACCACTTCATTGTCACCCATTATAAAAATATATTAAGCAAATTTTCAAACAAGATATAGGTAGTGACTCTTAATTTTGAGGAAAATTGTTAGTTACAATTAATAGATATAAGGACAAGCAATTAAGATCATGACCTGTCAGAAAAGTTCTTATCATGTTATAATAAGATCAAAATGTAAGCAATTGTATTGACAGAGACTCTTAATTTTAAATAAAAAAGTAAGCTATAATTAATGTACATATAAGAGAACATGCAATTAAAATCATAACCTATAGAGCAAATTTTCTATCATGATATAATACGATCAAAAGGTAAGCAATTATACAGATAGAGACTCTTATTTTAAGGGAAAAAATTTGCTACAATTAAAATATAAGAGAACAGGCAATTAAAATCATACCCTGTAAAGCAAATTTTCTAACATGATATAGGATCAAAATGTATGAAATTATATAGGTTAACTCTTTTAATTTAAAGGAAAGGGGTCAGCTACAATTAATAGATGAACAGGGATTAGAATTAAAATCATAACCTGTTAATCAAACTTTCTATCATGATATGATATATAAGCAATTATAATAAATAAATATACCTAGAGTGCAGTAAATAGGATATATATTAATTTGTTACTCGATTATATTGCTTCAAATTAGTGTAAATAGCACGACTATATACGTAGTAGTTCAAGTGTAAAGTGAGTGGAATAAGTATACAAGTCATAGACCGCAACTACCTACCTACACAGTTAATCATTATACGTATTTTATGTTCACAATTTCAAAAGTTTATTAATTGTTGAAAGTGTAAACAACCTATCGCGACAGTTTGTCATCACACAACGCGAAATATTGTGCAGCTTTCTATTTTGTGAACGTACTTCTATCAATATCGGAGTTTGTTCGGCCTCTGCTGATTGCTTCACCGCATTTTCTAGCATTATAGCTTCGGCACCAATTTACTGTCGGGATGTCTTCTGGAGTGATGCGATGTGCTGGATGTTTTAAGAAAATCGAGAATAATCTGTTTTTGAGCTGCAGCATCTGTAAACAAGCTTACGATCTCCATTGTGCTGATGTGGCCGAGAAATCATTCTGCAATGCCATGTCACACGAGCATCGTGCCGCATGGAAGTGCCCCTTATGTGTCAGTAAACAGCCTAAAACTGACAATACTGATACGCCAGTTCGTACTGTGACTCAAGGGGTTATGACTCGTAGAGGAGCTGCCGCAGTCAGTCCAGTGGATCAGCTCAACATGTCTATCGTGTCGGATGCCCCTATGCGCGGGGATTTAGATGATATAACGGACACACAGATGCTGGCGCTCGAGATACGTCGTTTCAGAGAAGAGTTGTCTGCATCACGAATCCAAATGCAATTACTCAATGAGAATATGGCTAGGTTGTCGACAGGGCTGGATAATTGCAATGCCCGCGTTGATCGACTGTCTATTCGTGTTGACAATTTAGAACGTCAGATCTGCGAGGGTAGCTCGAGTGCTACATCATGTGAGGATACGCTGATGAAGGCTATTGAGCAGCTTAAAGCAGAACTAAATGATCGGGACCAGGAACTCCTTCTCAATGACATTGAAATATCTGGTGTCCCGGAGCAGAAAGGTGAAAATGTGACACATGTTACACTAACGCTGGCAACTAAATTAGGAATTAAACTGTCTGAGGAGGATGTGGTTAGTGCGTCACGAGTGGGGTCGGTGCTGAGGACCTCGGATGGACCCACACACCAACTACGGCCCCGGCTTATCGTGGTTCGGTTGGCCAGGCGTACTCTGCGTGATCAGTTCCTTCACGAAGCCCGTATACGCCGCGGTGCCACCACCGGGGACGCTGGCCTTCCTGGCCCATCTTGTAGATTCTATGTAAATGAGAGACTTACTAGAATTAACCGTTATGTGTTTCATCAGGCCCGTGATGTCGCTAAGCGGTGTGGTTGGAGGTTTGTTTGGACTAGAAACGGTAAAATTTTTGTGCGTCATAATAATGAAAATGGTACTGTTCGTCACCGTATCGGCTCAGTACCTGATCTTGTGAGGGTTTTTGGACAGGACAATGTTAGTTCAATTAAAATCTAGTAATAATACAATTATTGGTCATTTTAGCATTGAATTATTGTATAGCTACTTGTTCTGTGCGGTGGCGGAGGGGGTTAATATTAATATTTTCAGGCCATTTATTTGTATTATTGACTGCCACATATTTATAAATTTACAAATTTTGATATTAAGTTTTTATGATTTTTATTACACAGTCATAACAGGCCCTAATAAACAAATTATATGTACTTATTATAATTATGAATTCAATCGCTTTAATCTACTTAGTACTATTATTGTAGTAGCTAATATTTTACCTCATTATATACGCCGACTGTATAAATGCACCGTGAAATGCTACATGCTCGTAATCATTATCTTACTAATATTTTATTCGCCAATTTCTTACAAAGTTATAATAACATGTTTTAAAATAATATATCAATGCTTCTGTTATACTTGTGAATTGTTTAATTTACTACCTCTTAGAGCTGTTACAATAGACGAAATAAATATCTGCATATATGTGATGCAGCTATTTAAATACACTATATGTCGGCACATTATATTCTTTTTGATAATTATATTTACGACTATTTACTTTAATCTCATAAAAAGGAAATTTAAGAGAGGATATGGATATTTTTTTATTTTTTATTTACCGATTGAGCTGTTATTATTTATTATTATTTGTTATCAGAATGTGTGTTATGCCAATTATGTCACAAACATGTATATATATCAAAAACCATCATGTTATTTGTTAATCTATTATTTGTTATATATTTGTGACAATACTATATATGTAATCCTGACAAAAATCTTACTTTTATCGTTTTTTACTTCTTACAAATATACCGCAATAATGTATGCTGTAACAGCAATGCAAAATTATAGGGAAGGAAACCATCACAGTACAATGTTGCTCCTGATGTATCGTGCGCTCTCGTTTGTATTACCTGATATTATATTCCACACTAACTTTTTTACCATGCTTAAATGTAACAGCAAGCACACATGTATTACTGTCACTCGTCGAATGGCATCCCTAACAGTCACTTACCTACTATGTGAGTATTTATTTATTTACATATATTTACAGAAATACCCACATATCAGCAAATTAATCATTATATTATTTATACTCAAATACCCTTATTGTATTTATGTATTTATCTTTTTGTACCGTACTCGGCCTAATCCCTAAAAATAAATACCTCAAATTAGGTCTTTACAATGCCGGCTCGTTAAATACAGGTCATGATAATTTCCAAGTGGCTATGACACAGTATAATGCTGACATAGTCGCAATAAATGAAACTTGGCTGCGACCGGGCCAGGAGGGATGCGCACCCGCTGTACCTAATTACCGACTGCTTAGTACTCCTCGCCCTACGAGAATGCGTGGCGGCCGAGGAGGAGGTGTAGCATTTTACGTCAAGCGTGAACTCCGTGTACGTATTCTTAAGCATTCGGAAGCAGATATTGAACAAATGTGGCTATCTATGTGCGTTAATGGATATAAAATTCTTATAGGAACCGCTTACAGACCACAATGGGTCAATTTAGATATCTTTTTGGATTCCTTGACGGAGTCAATTTCGTGTTTCTCCAACCATGATTATGTCGTATTGCTAGGTGACTTTAATGTTAATATGTTGGACACATTGTACTGTAATACTTCAAAAATAATTCAGTTTCTGCATTACACTGATCTTAAGCAAGTAGTTAATGAACCTACCCATTTTTCAACAGAAACAGAAACTCTAATAGATTTAGTATGTACAAATGCCGTAGTCCGTGAAGTCTCTGTTAATACCATACAAGACTCACTTGGACATGCTATGATTAACGTGGTACTCTCCTTGAAAAAAACAAAATCCTCACCCAGAGTTATTACTTATAGACCCATAAAGAATATTGATTTTGACAATTTTAATCGCGATTTAAATTCTATTGATTGGGAAGGTATTGGCGAGCTTCCGTCTGTCGATGCTATGGTTGATAGATTTAATACAACGATTAAATCATTGTATGATAAATATGCTCCAGTTAAAACACGAGTCATTAAGGATGATAAGTCTTTGCCATGGGTTACTGACAACTGTAGGCGGATGATGGATTTACGTAATGCTGCATACGATAAATATAGACGGTCAGGTTCAGAGGTCCATAAAAGTTATTACCTAGTTTTGAAGAAGTTAGTAAAGAGTAGTATAGCTAATGAAAAGAAAGCATATTTTAATTATCATCTAAATTCTCAAATTGACAATAGTAAGAGTTTCTGGAAAGCTCTTAAAAATAAAATATTAGTTGATCCCGGCAAGAGTGATTCTCTCCCTTCGTCTTTTGATAATCCTGATGCAATTAACTCTCATTTTCTTAATATTCCTAATAGACGCACTGTCCCTAATTCTGTTATAGACTTTTTTAAAAATCATCAGTTCTCAAATAATAATAAATCTTTTAGGTTGCAACCTGTACACGAAAGCGAAGTTGCTACTTATATAACATCTTTAAAGTCAAATTCGCTTGGGTCAGACGCCATTAATAGAGATATGATACTGCTTACTCTTCCTCGAACACTAAAAATTATTACAGCCATTATTAATAAGTCCATCCTCAATAATGCCGTCCCCCAACAATGGAAAGAAGCGTTGGTTACCCCATTGCCCAAAGTTACTGAACCAACTGAATTCAAAGATCTCAGGCCTATAAGTATCTTGCCTTTTTTATCGAAAATCTTGGAGAAGGTCGTACATAAACAGTTAGTGAAATATGTGGAATCGAACAACATTCTACCAGAATTTCAGTCAGGGTTTCGTAAGGGGCGGGGTACAGTAACTGCACTACTAGATGTTACTGACAATATATTATCTGCAGAGGATAATGGGTGTGGTACTATCTTGGCGCTATTGGATTTCTCGCGCGCATTTGATAGTATTAATTTATCGCTTTTACTCTCTAAGTTGTCTTATTACGGTGTAGATCCTCTTTCGATTGGATGGTTCGAAAGCTATTTAAAAGGTAGACGTCAATCAGTTAAACTTGTTAAAGCCAATGGACATTACTTAATTTCTGAATCTAAATTGGTTGATTGTGGTGTCCCTCAGGGCTCTATCCTGGGGCCGTTACTGTTTTCATTATATTGTACTGATCTTGTTAATGTGATAAAGTACTGTAGATATCACTGTTATGCTGATGACGTTCAGTTATATATATCTGAATCACCTGAAAATATTCCGTATGCCGTGTCAATGATAAATGAAGATATGGATAAAATCGCAGAGTGGTCAAGCAAAAACTCCTTAGTACTTAATCCAGATAAATCAAAATGGATGATTTTAGGAACCAAGAAACAAGTGGTTAATATCTTAAACAATAATCCATCTTTATGTATCTTGGGCAGTAATATAGAACGCGTGAAGGAAGCTAAAAATTTAGGTGTTATATTTGATGAACAATTAAGGTTCGAAAGCCATATTTCGAATGTGGTTAAGAATTGTTTCTATCGTCTAAAAATTTTATACAGAATTCGCCATTTGTTATCGGTTAAAGTTCGCATCACTTTATGCGAGTCCTTAGTTTTATCTAGATTCAATTATGGTGACCTAGTGTACGGCCCTCGTTTACTTCGTAAAACGCAGCGTTTGATACAAAAAGTTCAAAACGCCTGTTGTAGGTTTTCTTTCAACATTTCTCCTCGTAGTCACATTTCACCCTACTTGAATATGGCGTCTATGCTCAATATGGAATCCCGGCGACAATTACATTTAGCTACTTTGTTATTTGGTGTAATGAAATTTAAAAATCCGGAATATCTTCACAGTAAGTTGAAGTTCTCCACTTTTTATGATAGGTATCATTCTAGATCAGTGCGACCACCACTGTCACTTCAATGTCATAAAACTGTGGCATTTACCGGCAGCTTTCGCTATCAGGCCACGAAATGTTGGAATAATATCCCACCGCCCCTCAGAATAATGACATCTTTACATACGTTTAGGAAAAATATTAAAGAAATGCTATTAGAAAAACAAAAATCGGTGGCGGAAGCTGTCTCCCTTTGTACAGTACATTTTTATTCTTCTCCGTCGTAGTACTTAATACACCAATATATGCATACTCATATACACATATGTATTATTTATTTGCGTTTATCTTTTTAGTATATTATAAGGATTTAATTATTATTATGATTATATGTAAGTCTATTTTATTTATATTGTTTATACTGTGTTTAAAGTGATTCTTACCCATTTTTTCTCTCATATTTTAGTCTTATTACTTTTCTGTCACACCTTTAACAGACACAATTTAATTCTCTCCATCCTTGGGTTGTCTGGGAGGGATCGCTGTCTGGCGATGGGCATGCCTGCTGTTGCCTCTTTAATATGCTTTTATGTAACTAGTTGTATTTGTATAATTTGGGTATTCATTTTGTTTTGAGTGCTTGAAACTGATAGAAATTAACTTCTGACTACCCTTCTTCTAAATAGCGAGTATAACGAACGCACACTATGTATTTGATCTATATTTCTTTCTTTTTTATTATTTTTTTTTAGTGGTATTTCGCGGCTCACTTTTGGCCACAACAGAATATCAGTGTTTTGCTCTTTTTAGGGCAAAGCAAAAAGCTGAGTTGTGGCCATTTTGCATTACTGTGGCACACGCATGAAGAAAAAAAAAATTATTATGCATTCTGATTTTGTTTTTGGTTTTTTTTTTTTTAATCTTTTGTACATGTATCTTTTTTATATTTTTTCACATTGCTTTTGTGTCTTTTGTTTGTGTGCTGTAAGTTATGCAAATAAATTATCTATCTATCTATCTATCTATATAGGCTTAATTTTCGGCAATTCGGTAATGGAAATTTGGTTTATATTACCACTTTACGAAAGCAAGCAACCTATTTACTAAGAAAAAAAAACATACCAAACATGATATATGATTATACAAAAGTACTTATACCTAATACACTCACCAAATTTTTTTATCAATTGTGTGAAAACACCTGGATCACTCTCAATGAGACACCAATCTCCGGCAGATTCCATCTTGATTATGTGATAGGCGAAAGGTAGTCTGTGATTTTCAATAAAATTTTAACAAATTTAGTTTACAATATATATAGAGAATTAAACAAAAGAACTTACGCAGGTTATTTAAATTTGTTGTATCATCCAGATATTAATTGTGTAAAAAACATTTCATTTGCAAGTCACTTAACCTACAAGTAAAAACTACGTACAGCACACAAGCAAAAGAAACGATTTTATTTACAAGGCATTGTCTTATTTCTTGAAAATGACATTTACGCTTGGGTGTGTGATTCAAGATTGAAATTGATTATTTAAACACAGATTAGAGAGACTATGCATTTAAATTTGATGACAGAACAAGAATAGAGTAAGTAATCACTACCTTATAAAAATTGACAATGATTATAAATTTACAAACCTGGAAAATTAATCTATATTATATTTTCGTACCAACAACACAATGAAATAAATGAATATCTATAATATTATACCGTTATTATATACTAAAATCTCGATATCAACTGTTATCATAACGGATAGGGCCATTTCATAATGCAAAATTTTCAAATTTGTATAAAACTATGTTACCACAGATTCAAAAAATTCAGTCATGGCGTATAATGGCTGTCTTGATTAGACGCTATGACAGTCAGAGTTATGTCGCCATTTTAAAAATAGCGTTTTACTTATAAATGCATTTTTTAAACATTAAAATAACTAGTATGTGTTTTGATAAATAGTAATAAATAAAAATATAAATAAATTTGTGTTTAGTGTGATATACATGATATAATACAAAGAATAAATAACGTTTCTAGCTCTATATATATATAGCTGATCTATTGAATAGATTTGAACGGACGAGTAAAGAATAATTATAATTAGTATCGTTAAGTAAAATTAAAGTTTGTATGTACTAACTGACTAATTAACATATTCGGTTATATAGTAGCGGAACTGATTCCTATGTAATACTGAATGCTAAATTTATATAATTAACTAAAACCCTTGTGTTGTTCGTGGCATTATTTCTACTATTTATCGATGTTAACTGAAACTAAATTATGTGGGCGATATTATAGATTGTATGTTGAGGTATTTTGTGTATTTCAGTAGTACAATTATTTTTTACATTGTTACGTTCTGCTCATAAGAGTAGAGGCGCTCCTACTTCACCTGCTACCTTCGGAGTTCACTTCAGCATTAATTTCCTCCAGCTCGACACGGTAAGTGTCTTGCTGGAGACTTCCGCAAGATGTCGTGCGAGTGCGGTCTTCCGTTAATACTGGCAACACTTGTAGTCGGCATCAGCGGAAACCATCCGCATCTTTATGCTCAAAGACGAAACACGAGATTTCGACTGCGCGGATCGCAAGCTGAAAGCTCGATTGCCTTCATCTGCACAGAGTCTATCTAAGCCTACGAGAGAAGGCTCGGCGTAAGAAATAGTGGGAGTGACGATATGCGATGACATGTTTTTACCTTTACTACGCGTGATCATTACATGAACAATACAAAACTGCTATGTATTAATACAACTACTTATAAAACTAAATACAGAATGAAAATGTTAGGTGCGATAATTTACCGAAGAAGGGCTAAATATGTGGACGATAATATGAACTGGATTGATAATATGGTATATTAATGAATTTAATATAATATAAAGAAAACTACAGAAGCCAGACTACGGATGTGACAAAAAGCAAAGTGATAATTGTAAAAACAAAAAAGTATAAAAATACAATAAAAATAAAATCTATAAAAAAACTAAGGAGTTTGCAACAAATTATAAGTAATGATATATTATGAAGAGAATTAGTACTTAAAATTATATGTAAATAATTAATTAAATATGTATTTGTAGTATGCTGTTTCCTATTAAAATGTCACTTATTAATTTAAAAATAATTTTAATCACATTATAATTATATGTTTACGAGAGTCCTGACCAATCGTCTTGCACACAAACTCGATGACTCGATGACCCGAACAAGCTGACTTCTGAAAGGACTTCAGCACCATAGACCACATACATACGCTAGAGCAGATTATACAGAAGACCGAAGAGTATAATCTGCCAATATCTCTGACATTTGTGGGCTATGAGAAAACCTTTGAAATGACATGGGCAGTGCTACGGTCCCTTCAGCGAATTCACTATAGGTATATCGAAGTGTTAAAGTGTATGGACAATAAGGCTATGATGTCTATCCGAATACAGAACCAGAGTACGAAACCTATCCCATTGCAGTAAGGTTTAAGATAAGATGACGTTATATCTTCGAAACTCTTCACAGCTCTATTGGAAGATATTTTTAAACTCTTAGACTGGAAAAGACATGGTATAAACATCAATGACGAATATATCGCTCACCTTCGATTTGCCGATGTCCTAGTAATTATGGCAGAATCCCTGGAAGATTTGAATACTCTCAATAATCTCAGTGGTATTTCCCAATAGGTAGGTCTTAAGATGAATATGAGCAAGACTAAAATCATGTCTAACGTCCGTATCATACCTATACCGGTTACAAATTTGTCGACGAGTATGTATAGGCACCTAGGACAAATTGTCCAAGTAGGTAATTCCAACTTCGACCGAGGGGTTAACTAATGAATCCAACTGGGCTGGGCAGCGTTCGCGAAACTTCGCCACATCTTTTCATCCAAAATACCTCAGAATTTGAAGACTAAGGTCTTTAACCAGTGCGTGTTGCCAGTGATGACTTACGGAACCGAAACGTTGTCCTACACGGTTGCCCGTATGCAAAAGTTAAGTTACTCAGCGGGCCATAGCCCTCTCTCCATAGAGAGGGCTGTGCTCAGAGTCTCTTTGCGTGATAAAATTCGAAACGACGATATCCGCAAAAGAACTGAAATAACCGACATAGCAATCTGAAATGGCAATGGGTTGGCCACATAGCTCGAAGAACCGACAACCGATGGGGAAGGAAGGTTCTTGAGTGGCGACTACGTACGGGTAAATGCAGTGTAGGACGACCTCCCACTAGATGAAGTGACAACTTGAAATACTTTGCAGGGAGTCAGCGGATACAGGTGTCTCAAGACCTTTCCTTGTGGTAGTCTCTAAGAGAGGCCTATGTCCAGCAGTGCACAAATAATGGTTGAAATGATGACAATAGTTATATGTATTTGAAATAATGTACTAACTATAAATAAAGCTATTGCTCTTATATGCATAATATTCTATGTATATATTCTCTAGAATTGAATACGTATTTTTTTCAGTAACTATTTGACTCTGCGCAATACTTTTTTTTTATACTGTTTAATGCTCCAAAGATAATTTGCATAGAGATAATATAGTATAAGAACTTATCTAATCTAAACTATAATCATGGCTAATAAAACAAGTATTAGTACTTGTTTTATTAGCCATGATTTTCGTAAAATTTGAAAATTTTGTGTTATGAATTAGATAGATTTTTTATGACAACTGTCGATATCGATATATTGGATGAAGGCATAGATAGTACTACTATACACACACATCAATATTAATACATTATGGATATTCATTTAAGTTTCTTGTTTTTATAATTCTTATTGCATTATTGCTTTAAAAAGGTAACGTGCAGTAAATTTTTTTTTTCCTCAAGTGCCGTTGATAAGGCCAGTGCCAACTCTTATAACGTAGTGATTACTTACTATGTGAACATTCACCTACCATACAGAGTATCTTTTCAATTTTATTTAGAGAGTTGTATTTAATAAAGCGTGATACTATTTTTGTCAATCGTTCCCTAACTGGTATCGCAGTAGTCGTATAGTGCTGTTATAGGTAAGAGCTTTGATTGTCAATAATGATAATATAATCAAATACTGCTTGGTAACCCACGCAGAATGCATGCAATGTTTACAGAATTTGTCTGTGCTTAAATTACATCGCTTGACTCAAGCGGCTTAATATGAGTTTGACACAGGTCTAATAAATCAAACATGGATATCCGGGAGGAAAGGGATTGTTAGTAATGTGGACTAATAGCCCCATTGCTAACAAGCCCTGTCAGGTCGACCTCCGCGCGGTTCCCCCTGGAAACCATTGTGATTAATACTTTTTACATTCGTCACGATGGGCTGACTTGCTTTCATACTCTTTTATCATTCCTCACTGCTGCCCTGCCAGTGTATACCGACAGTGCAGGCGGGGTTACCATTTCATTATCGTCCATTAAAAAAACATGGATATTCGCTCGTCATTCATTCCAAACTATAGAATCTAATCAGTGTTGCCAATCCCAAAAAAGTAAAAAACAATAGTAAAGTAAAAAAAGTTAGATTTCATACTTTATTCATATAACTAAAACAATAACAAATGTTCTTTGTTACTAGGACTCACATACATTGTTATATTAATAATCATAATATAATAAAAAAAAAAAACAAAATAAAATTATTTTCCACGTTCATTCTCAATTACCTCATCTTCAATAATATTCATTTTCTTTTTTAAAATCATACATATTTTTGTTAAATTTATTCATGTGCTTTTCCGTGGCTTCAAATGAGTAGCAATCGGTTATTTTGGGTTTAGAGTGTGTAATACTTCTTTAATAGTCGATATTTTGTTGCGTAATTTGGTTTTCATAATATTTATAGCTGAAAATAAGCTTTCCGCGGTGGCGCTGCTATGTGGTAGGCACAAAAGTTTTTTCACTAATTCACACAATATGGGAAATATTTGAGATTCGTTTCCATTTTTTAATTCATGTACATGCTTCCAAAAGTCGATAATATCTGGAATTATGAAAATTAGGAATGAAACAGAAAACAGAGACATCAGTGTGAAAACAGCAAATTTACTGTTAAGACAGTACGGTTGGTAACATTGAATTTAATAATCATTCCTATTCATTCATTCGTTCTTACAGACATTCACTCACTCATTTGAGATATCATTTTTGTTCGATTTATTTTATTCTGCAGTCACTTTCGTCTTAGAAGCATCGTGAATTTTTTGTACTTAAATAATTTTTCTCAAAGATTTAGTCCTGAAGGTCATATTCAAAATTTAAGGTAAGTGATCTATTACTGAAAATAAAGTTAGGTCTTTTTTATGGATAAATACTTATTTGTTAAGTAAGATAACTATGTTGCATAAAGTATTATTTTCTGGAAAGCGAATTCCACCAGTTTATTTGATAACAGTATACGAGTTTAAAGTCAGCAAGATTTAACCTATGATTCCAAATAAAACTTGATAAGTTGTCCTATTTTTGATTAAGTATTTTATAACTTAAATAATTAGTTAAATATGAGGGTACCCACTTTTTTTTATGGTTGAAAACGGAATGAATGCCAGTAAGCCCATCATAATGAATTCATCATGATGGGCTAATTGGCCTGTTTTTATTCTCATGAAATTGGTTTAAATCAGTTGCTTATATGGAGTGTGCATTGTATTATCAATAAAAAAATTAAAGCGGTGAGAGGTGACATTATAAAAAGTAAAATTGGGAAAGCTATCATATTATAAAAAAAATATGTCTATATTATACAGTTATACTTTTTGCTTTATTTGCCATCACTTTATTTACTGCTAGGAAATAAAAATAAATTATTTGCTATTCTTAGTTTATCTATTTCATATACAATTACCTATTCCTTTATATGCTGCATAGATAAGTATGCAATACACATACATTATTTATCTCTAATACACACATAGTAAATGATCATTACCCTAATTATTTTATAAATATACTTCATATCTAAATATGTTACCATCCTTTTGACTGCATGAGTGGGATATATTCCTGGGCTGTGATAATAAGTTTTGTGTTCCTTTTGAAATCCTAAATAGTGTGTGTTAAATTTTGTAAGTTTTGGTTGAGTTATTGTAGTGCCAAGAGGTAATAAACAGTGTTTTTATGTACAAGAGTTATTGGTACCTATAGGGTTATATTCATAAATAAAAATGTTTAGAAAATGTGAAGTCGCACCCGAAACCATAACTGAGACATTGTTTTATACTAATACACCTCCCTAGGATGGTTAGCAATATAAACCTGATAAGAATTATCACTTAGACATGAACAACAGCATAGATATAATAAGATACACTATAATGAACATGGCAGCTCTTGTGCATTGTTATTTTCAAAGAATAAGTTTGATTGTCTCTTGCCTTCTTCTTCAAATTACAATTCTTTTAAAAATTATCTATGTATGATTGATTAGATACTATCAATATAATTTTTAATCAAGAATAATGAAAAAAAAAGTTTTTTTACCATCCTTTCAGGTCATTTAAATGCTGAAAAATTAACCATTAAGAATATTTGTATTGTTTATGAATATTTAAAAATTTATTTGCAGATTTATCAGCAATGTTGGGCTTACTTCTTGCCACCCTAGGCTGGATAGGGTGCAGCCCAGTGCCATATATTGCATCTATGATTGGCGCCACAGAGCCAGCACTGAAATTACTTGTATCCATTTTAATGGGTTACCCATTAGCCATAATTTATCATAAGTATGTGAGAATGCACAAGCAATACAGAAACATATATTTCATAATAACTGGCGTAGACATTGCTTTTTATAATTTCGGTGCTTCTATGTATCATAATTTAATCCCAGCAATTGTAATATACTTATCGACAAAGCTCCTAGGTCCAGGGAAAATGAATGCTTTAGTTTCTTTTGTTTTCAACATGACCTATCTACTGGTTGGATATGTGGTCACTGAATCAGAAGAATATGATATAACGTGGACAATGCCCCACTGTGTGTTAACTCTGAAGCTGATAGCATTGTCTTACGATCTATGGGATGGACAGTTGATGATAAAAGGCGAAAAGTTGTCAGATAACAATAAAAAGACAGCCTTGCCAGAAGCACCAACATTTTTAGAACTGATTGGATTTCTTTATTTCCCTGCTTGTTTCTTGGTTGGACCTATATTTTCATTCCGCCGATATAAGGACTTTATTTCTGATAAATTCCCACTGAATTCAGAGGCCAGAGCTTATGAAAGGCAAGGATTCTACAGACTCATTCAAGGAATAATTTATATGATCGCCTTTCAGATTGGAGGTAAATACTTACAAATAATTTACTTTACTTTTTACTTTAGTATACCGTTCGGTACCCAAATTTCACGGTTTGGAATGGTATGGAAGGTTGTGAAACTTCTAGTAGTAATAATGGTGGTCAATCTTTGAGTGTTGACAAATTATACTTGGTAAATTAAACAAAATAATTCTAATCAAATAACTAGTAAATATTTACTTTTTATTTATGAAACTTCAGTTACAGAAATATTGAAAGTACCTTTTTTTTTATTTATTGTCACAAAAATACAGAGTTATAGAAATTATGTTACATTAGCATTCAGTAACCACGTAGGTTTATATTATTACTAATTATATTAAAACTGTTTAATTTGTATTAAAATCATGCAAGAAGTATCGTTTTAATTTACATTTGATGTTGCTAATAGTAATATTATCCCGTACTTCGGTGGGTAGTTCGATAATAAGACGAGGAATAAAGTCTAGATAGACAGCGGTACGCTTACCATAACAGTTGTTTACGCAAGCGCTATTGGTACAAAGTTGTTTTCGTGCGACCGCCCTCGTATATATAGCATGATTAATTTCATTCCAATATTTTTTATTAAAAAAGTTTTCTTTAAGAAATGTGTATTTAAATTGTAGATGTACAGGTAAAATATTGCAATGTCGAAAAAGACCAGTATCATCGTCATAATACTGCATCTTAATTTTGGGAGATACAATAGTTCTTAAAATTCTACGTTGAAGTTTAAAAATATCATTTAAATATGTTTTATAAATGCGGCCATAACTTGACAACCCATATTGAACATAAGATTCAACCAATGAATTATACAGCATCGATTATACATTAAAGGGAATTCGGTGTCTAAGGATGATTATATTAGCTAAAAATTGTCTTAATTTGATACAAATTTTTTCGATGTGTTTAATTAAACTTACTGTCTATAGTTAATCCAAGATATGTTTGGCTGTCCTTGACCGTTATAGCCGGGCAGCTGCAAAAGTTCCTTCCAGTAGTTATCTGTAGACACTTGTGGTTGTGAGCAATGATAGGTTTATATAGTGGACGAAATTTTACATAGGGTGATTATATGATCAAAAGTTGTGTTTTAATTGGTTTTAATACCAATCCTGCATCATGAAACCATTCACCTATAACCATAGATTATATTCTGGAATGTAAGAGGAATTAAAAATTTAAGAAATGAATCCAGGGATCTTAATATGCACCTATTAAGTAATAAGTTAAAAGTATACTCTGGACATAATTGTCATAAACATTTGTTTAATATAATTTTATCCAACATGATCATATTTTTCCCAGTATATTGAATTTTTACACTCTAATGGAGTAATTTATATTGTTAACGACATTTCTCATCAACCGAGAGTTACTTGGTGTCATCCAGTTTAAAACTTATGACCTTTGGTTTCATGTTACTATAAGTGTAGCGTGAAGCTCATAAGTAATAAAAAAAAAATGTTTTACAAATTTTGAAATAAGCCACTCAAATTTGGAACATCATAACCGACTATTTCTTCTGTCTTCATTTTCTATTTTATTAATATATTCTTTTTTAAACCAACCGTATTTTTTTCTGTAACTACATACTGTGCGTACAGACGCTTATCTGTCTGTATATATCATTATTTTAAATATTTCTAATTCGTTATCTGTGACGTTTATTAGTATTTAATAGTTTAACATACATATAAAAGATAAGACAAAATATGGCTATTGGAAAAAAGACTATACGAAATCGACGAGAAATGAATGTTATTCACATATTCAAGGAATTCAGTTTGCCTATAAGTTCAAATGTGAAGGTGTCTTCAATATAACGTGCCATACAACTATTCAGTTGTAATGTTATGTTAATTCGTCACATTCTTTGTTTCCAGGTGGTGTATTCAGTATGAAGTATATGCTCTCCGATGAATTTTCGGGACTTTCCGTATTATATCGCCACTTGTACTGTGGATTGTGGGGCCATTTTGCTCTATACAAATATGTATCATGCTGGCTGCTCACGGAAGGTATTACAGTTACAATTATTTTTAAATTATGTCTCATGTATACCGACTACATTAACCTTGCTTGGGTATAACTAAACATGTACAAAGGTTAAAAGCATTGTACATATAATATGCATAACTTTTTCATTTTACATAATATAATTGTAAATAGAAGATGTCTGCACATAGGAAATATTAAAAATAAATAATAAAATTGAATAAGAGCAATAGAAGCCAAAACAATATTTTTGTCATTTTGTTTGTCTATATGTTTTTTCCAACATCAGATAAAATCTACTGAACCAAATTGAATGCAGTTTTCGAAGTTGTATACCTGAAGAGCTAACTTAAAATTCGGTATATGTTTTAATCTATTTCATTAGTTTTCCTACTTCTGAAATTCACGCCTACGCGAGCAAAAAATTATATAAAAAAACATATTACTTAACAATATTGATTCGATTCGATTGTAATCGACTTTTTTGTGAATCATAATATTGTTTTGTACTCACACACTACATATTTTATATGATAACCATACTTTGTTTTAGCTTCGTGCATCAGATTTGGTCTGTCATATAACGGCTCAGAAATGATAGTGGATGGCATTTCGAAATCCAAGTGGGATGGATGCAACAACATAAAGCTACTACAGTTCGAGTGTGCGACAAAATTCCAACATTACATTGACAGCTTCAATTGCAACACGAATTATTTTGCAGCAGAGTATGTTTACAAGCGTCTCAAGTTCTTGGGTAACAGACACCTCAGCCAATTTTTTACTTTATTATTCTTGGCCCTATGGCATGGCATTAGGTCAGGTTATTATGTGACCTTCTTTAACGAATTCATTATAATATACATGGAAAAAGAATTGGAGCCTATAATTAAGAAAACTGTAATATATCAGAAATGGAGTTCGAATATTATCGTTAAATGGTTGGTGTTTATTATACTTAAACTTTACGCTTTAATTTACATGGGATGGAGTTTGGTTCCATTCGACGTTAAAGTGTATTCAAAGTGGTTCACTGTGTACTCCTCTCTCTATTTTTCTGGATTTTTATTATTCTTACCTTGGACTGTAGTATACAAGCCAATAATATTATCTTTAATTAAAGTAAATCGCCCTAAATCACAGTAACTGCTCAAACATCATTCTAATTTATATCATGGAATGTTAAAGATATCTTTTCTATTTTATTGCTTATGTCTATTGTAATTAAAATTTCACTAAAGAAAGTATATATTTGTAATCTTCTGTTAGGCTTTTCAACTTTCCTTACATATTACTATTAATCATATTTATATAAATATTTATATTGTAAATATTTATATATATATATATATATATATATAAGCATTATTCATATATTGCCGATCGCGCACAAATAGCTATAAGAGGAAATTTTTTTCTTTGCAGAAAAATTATATTCCTACAGCATTTATCTCAATTGTTATATAACGCAAATTATGCATTGAATTCTATTATTAAATCATGTTATATTTCTAATAAAAAACCATTAAGTGGCAATATATGAAGGGGTGCCTTTGAGGATGTCTATATATGTATAATTAATATATGTATAATTATTTATAATAATTATAATACGACATCCATGCTATTGTTTGATATTTCCAGTAGTTAGATTTATGCCAAAATATTTCCTTTAAATAAGATTTTTTCCTTAGTCTAGTCTAAAGAAAGAAAAAGAGTGGATAGTCTCACTTCGCTGTTATTTGTTAATTTTTTTTTTATGTAGAAAATTTATTTTTGTTGATTATATTATTTCTAATATCGTCATAGTCGTAGAATACTGACGGATCTGACAAAGATTACATATAAAGATAATTAAAATGTGTGTTATCCGTCAGTGTTCTACGACTATGACGATATATTATATCGCAGCTATAAATGAGAAACATAATCATTTTCACAAGTAGATAATTATTTCAACGTTGAGGTATATGCTCTAAACGTATTTTTGTATATTTTAAATAAAAATCTGCATATCAATCAGTTTGCATTTTTTTTTCCATATTAGACAATTTGAATATTATTTTTATTTTACATAAACTGTCAAAACAATGTTTCATACAAAACCAATAAAGAGGTTGCATTACTTAAAAATAATTGCCCTTAACAGTTGATTGCACGTTATTTGCAATAATTCATGAAAAATACATTAGATTAGTCTATGGGGATATACATATATATATTATTTATTTGACGTACATCACAGAAGTTTACAAATACAAATTTAACTATAACATGCAAGTACATTAATATATCGTTCAGGTAAACTTACCACAACATATGCACACAGCATGATCCAATAATAAATGCGACTGTAACAAAGCCATTCGGTTACAATTTTTAGTGATAAAAATTAAACATAAAAAAGAAAGTTAAATAAAAAACAAAACAAAACAAATTAAGAATCTTCTAAATATTATATTATTAAAATAATTTTATACAATTGACTACGATATTGATTATAACCGAGTCTAAATATATCAAGGTCATTTTGATGAGCGTCATTATATGATCTACACATATTCGCTATAGTGTTATTGTAAAAAATATTATTTCTATAAAGAGGCACGGTAAAAGTACGTTGAAGAAGAATTTGGCCATTCGTATTAATATTAATTGATTCTAAAAGTTGGGGACAATCCACAATTGAGTTTACAATCTGATATAAGTACAGTAATTCCATTATTTTACTTTTTTTAGTTAAAGATAATAGTTTGAAATATTTTAATCTATTTTCATATTCTCTAAGCTTTCTTTTAAATCCATACCTATAGGATATTATTTTTAGAAATCTTTTTTGTGCTTTCTCGAGATTATCTTGATGTACCTTATAGTAAGGAGACTAAACCATTGATGCATATTCAACTATAGGGCGAACCAATGCAGAATATAGAAAACACAGACTATGGGGATTTTTAAATTACTTGGTTAGTTGGTTACATCTATTTATCATATATTGATAATGAGATCGAAATGTCAACTTTGGGTCAAACAAAACTTTTAGATCCTTGGCAATATCTTTACGTTCAAGTATGTGGTTGCCGATACTATAACTAAACAAATGGTTGGGATTCCCAGAAGAAAATGAAATAACGAAACACTTGCTTACATTCAGAAACATATGATTCTTTATACAGCACTAACGTATAGTGTCAATATCTTGTTGTAGCTGATAGGTGATAAAATGAAACATTTTCAAATCGTCAGCGTATAATAAACACTATTGATGTGATTGACTAAGTCATTGATAAAGACAACAAAGAACAGTGAGCCTAAATGTGAACCTTGTGGTACACCATAGGTTATTGTAATTGGAGAAGAAATGAAACCCCTAATGGCAACCATCTGACTCCGTCTGCTGATGTAAGACTCAATCTATCGCAATAAGTTACCATGAATGCCATATGCAGACAATTTTTTAATAAGTAATGAATGGTTGACCTTATCAAAAGCTTTTGAAAAATCTGTGTATATAGAATCGACCTGAAGCCGTTTATTAAAAGCATCACATATATGGGACTTATACACAAGAAGATTACTAACTATAGAACGACCTGATACAAAACCTTGTTGAAACTGGGTAATATGTAGTTTAAGATGGTTAAAAAGAAAGGGATATATGAGAGATTCAAACAATTTCGCTATACAAGAAAGTATACTGATGGGACGATAATTTTCGCAATTAGTTTCGTCGCCAGATTTATAAATAAGAATAATAAAACTGATCTTCCAACAATCAGGAAAGCAACCTGAGCTAAGAGACTTATTTAATAATATTTCCAATGGATCACTTAACTTATCTGCGCATGTCTTTATAAACCTAGCAGGCACATCGTCAGGACCAGCGCCCTTATTTGAATCAAGCTTTTAATATATTTTCGCGGCTAACATGTATCTCGCAAATAGTGACAAATTTACATTATTAAAGTTGTTGCTACTATCAAACGGCTGTTCATATACTGATTTAAAGTACTCAGAAAACAATTCACAAATTGCCTGCACATCAAATGCGACATTAGATTTGTGTGACATCGATTGTGAAATGTAATTACTCGACTTTTTACAGTTCACATATCTCCAAAACATCTTATTATTATCTTTTAAGCCATCCTCTATAGATAGAATAAAAGACTTGTAGGATTCTTCAATCATTTTTTGCTTCTACTACGGAGTAGAACAAATGTTCTCTGGGGTTCTTATACTTTTTGAATTGTCGATGGTATTTTAGTTTCTTATTAAGATATTTGATCAAAGGCAGATGAACCATTCAGGATAGTTTTTTTTGACTTAGACTTACACTTTAGAGTATGCACACTAATTATCTCTCTTAGTTTACAGTAAAATTTATTAACAGCACTGTTAATATCCAAACCATAAAGAATATCATTACAATCTACTGATTTTAAAGCGACTTTAATTATAGTCACATTTTCAGTAGTTTTAAAAGAGCCAGGGTTATATTTCACAGTTAAAGGTAGAGTAATAGATTCAATATCTACAACAAAAGCAGGATGATGTATATCTAATTTGCTTAAAGGATCGGTGCTATATACATTAATATTACTATTATTATTTTAAAAGCACTAAGTCTAGCACCCTGCCATTAGCGTTTAATAAATGATTAAATTGAGATAAATTTCAAAGTGTCATGGTTTCCATTAGGATAGATGATCGGGAATGTATTGCATTGTAAGGTTCAAGACCTAAACAGGAATCTGTTTTCCGCCACGATATATTAGGTATGTTAAAGTCACCTAACAACAAAAACAACTCATTATGACCTTTTTAAAATATAATATTTTGAGAGTGTTCAAAGAAGAGAATAACGTTATATATAATATCCAAAGTTATATCAGGAGGTAAATAGCACACACAAATATTAAAAGGCAGATGCTTGCCTGCTGTCAGCCACATATCTTCAAAAAGGCTGTCCCACGTAGGTCTACGAATAACACTCAAAGACTTTTTTATTGCTATTAGAACACCACCATCTTCAGATTTCCTAGAAGCAACGCAATCGCTACGATCTCTACGAAAAATATAATAACGCTCATCAAATGGTTCCTTATTACACACACTTAAGATTTATCTCAGTTAAACATATAATATCAAACTCATTATTCAGTACATTCAGATGAAACTCGGTAGTTTTAGACCTGAATCGGTTAACGTTCTGATAATAAATTAACATCTTTTAAATATAAACAGAAGAGAAGAAAATAAAAATAATTAAGTTAGTTTAGATAGATTATCAACAGTGCGCATTAAAATAGCAGGTGACGTTTTGTCTTTTCACATAAACTTCATGAAATTTAAACCAAACAAAAGCGTATGATTTTTCTTTTGCTGCTTTTCTTGCCGCAGCATGCAAACTCTTGCACTCAGGTGATATATATTCTACTACATATATCTTAACTTTCTCGCCAACAACTCCTAAATGAGATGAATTTCTCAATGAATCAGCAGGATTAGCATTATTGTACCTTCTAACTGCCGACAAGATAGTGTCATGATGGCGCGATGAAGGCAAGGTTACCAACAAGTTGTGCGGTCTATCAGACTCATTAACAATTTGTTCAATTCAATAAATAATTGAATTGAATTGAATTAATGCAGCGACAAGGATGGATATCCGAGTCCATTATCGAATGACCTATTTTGTCGCATAACTTTTTAAATATATTGATAACATTCTCTTTTCGTTTTTCTAGTATAGCTTGGATTTCTATATTCATACTGCGTGATACCTTTTCATTTGATTTTAGTCGACGATCTAGATATCGAATATCCAATTGAATTCCATGCGTTCATTCATTCAAATTCAGAATTTTATCATCTATCAAAGACAAATGCGAATTCATTTGATTCTGCCTCTGATTCAAAAGGTCGGCAGTAGAAGTAAATTTCTCCTTTAAAGAGGCAAGGGCCTAGTTAACTTCCATTTTTACAGCCACCTTAATCTCAGCAAAAAATTCCTTTTTCAATTTATTTAATTTAGAATCCAATAAAGTACTAAACTGATTCAGTGTAATAGATTCGGAATCCGGGCATTCAGACGCACAGACACTCTGGTTTATTATTTCATCACAAGACAACCAAATCATCAAGCGCATGCAGCCTACGTATAGGGGTATTCGTATTACTATCCTTTCGCTTCGTAACATTTAGACAAGTAGGACATTTCCAATTTTTGCTGCTGTTGATTAAAGTCATATAAGTGTTTTTAGACACATAATGATAAGCTCCTTGACAGGTGTCGCAACGAATCATCTCGCCTGTCTTAACAGCGATATTGCATGCCAAACATTTATCCATAATCGAAACAAAAATATCAAATTTAAACAATACACTTCGCAAAATCAGTTCTAATTGCAGTTTTGTTATACAAACATTAGGTGCGTAATGAGTCACCACTCACGCGCAGTGCTGGCCGGCCCACTCGATGTTGATAATTGTTAACTTGAAGGCACACAAATATACTTACTATACGATTGATTGAAATTTTAAAGATATAATTGTTGATTAATAGTATATAATTAGCCAAAACAAACATTTAATTTGTATTTTTTGCAAATATATTACTTGATTGGGGACATAATTAGGGGTGCGTGATTTATAATAATTATAGTACTGTTTATTACTGATAACACATATATATGTATACATGTATACAATATAAATTTATTAGTACATAAGCAAATATTACACTAGTACATAATTGGTTTCAATGCACTGAAACAAACATTTATTTCATATCATCACAAATTTGTATCTATTGTTGTTATAATGTAATTTAACAATTTTGAGTAAGTGACTATGATTGGGGCTATGATATATGTGGCAATCTATGATATTTTAAATAAACACATTACTATTTTCCATTTAATTAAGTTGTCATTAATCCAACAACAAAATACATATATTGATTTATAATTGGACATATTTTTGATGGGTAAAAATGGTATGGTAACCCCGCCTGCGCTAACAGGATACGCTGGCGGAGCACCAGTGAAGGGTGATAGATGAGAATGAAAACAGGCCAGTTAGCCCATCATGATGAATTCGTCAGGAATTAACCATGATAGTTTCCAGGGAGAACCGCGAGGAGGTCGACCTGGTTGGGTATATTGCTAGCAATGGGATTCTCAGTCTCCATTACTAACAATCCCTTTTCCCCCCAATTGGACATATTCTATAAGTAATATTGACATTAGTGTTACAATTTTTATATTTCCATTAATTTGTAATAAGTTTTCTTTACATGCCTAACTATATCTATCCTTTGCAATAATCATGTTTTATTAAATTTTTT